AAATGATTTCTTTTCTGGACGTTTTCATAATTTGAGTCAGAAGGCGATGTTTTGTAAGTGTTGGATGCCCTATACTGCCGCATAGTGGTACCAAATGGGATATGTTTGACTGTCAGTCCACATTTTATTTGTGAATCGACCATGCAGCGATGCACCAGAATCTAGTTTTCTGGTCAATTAACCGCAGAATATAAAGTTAATTAGCCGTCTCTTTCGTTTAAATGCAAGTCTCGTGCTGCTACTAGTTAAAAGACCTCACAATTAAAGACCAAACACATAATTCACTTTAAGAAATTCTAGAAACTGCACAGGAACTTTTATGGTGAGGTCCTGCATCATTTCGCTTCCACCAGTCTTAAATTAGAAGCCAGAAAGTAATCATTTTCATCAGAAATATTCTGCGCGATGTCGACTTGATCCGGACACGGCATCCAGTGAAGGACCTCATCAATATAACCGCAATCTTACTATTACCAATTTAGGGCCATGTGTGCTAACGGATTTTACGCCGTATGTTGTTAAAATATAATCAGGGAATCAGGGGTTTCGAAATTGTGCTTAATAGACCTTCATGAGTTGCGTTTCATCGTGCAAAAGGACGTTTAAGCGTACTTTAGGTTGCCTTAGTAAATTTCTTGGAAAGGGGCCGAGTTTGAAAATAAAATACTTCAAGAAAGTTTGTCGCTCATCCTGTCCGCAAATCGCCAATTTCTAATGCAAGACAAATTACTAAACTTCCGATTTTTGGTACTATGGTTACTGCTGTAAAGAAGCCCTGATTTGAGGAACTAAAGTGCATTCAGACGGTGCCAATTTTAGACAGTGTACTGTTTTGTGCAAACAAATTGCGCGTTTGCCGGTTTAGAGGTAACGTTGGATTTGCAAATTGACATTCGCAGTTAGTGAAAGCTGTGCATTCATTTAAAATGCACAACTCATTCTTAGCCAAATAAAAACCGCCACCCTAAGTGAACAAACCAAAATAAACGTGATATTTGCTTTCCCCCTTTTCGCATTTTCGACTTTGGGTTTAAATGTTGCATGCCTCGAAAATTTTGACGACGGTTGTGCTGTTGTTTGAACAGTTGCTCTCTTTTTGCATAATCTTGCAGTTAGTGTAAACTTGGTGTTATTGTCTGGTACAACGGCATGAGTGAGTTGGGAAACTGCATGACGTTGCTTTGGCCCAAGCTAAACTTCAATGAAAGTCTTTCTCAAAACCTGAATTTATTAGTGTATTGTTGCGTCATTTGGTGCAACACTTAAAAATAATATCCGCCTGTTACAATTTGCGAGAACTTGCAGTCTGTCGAATTGTGCATTCGTCAGCATTCTGTTGAAAGCAGGAGACACTGGCATAGTTTTAGGCATCAAAATTGGAAATTTTGTGGACCTACATGAACAGCGGTCCTTGTTGACCAGAGTTACAAGTTAGCCGCATAATCAGTCAGCTCACCACATTCTGGTAGGGTTTACCGGTACGCATGCACATATTAACCACTAGTCGAACACGCAAAGGACTTCCCAGAGCAGGACAAATACAGATAACTCTACCGTCACCGGCAACAGCTAATGTCGAAATTCGGCTACATTTTCCTATTCTTTTATTAATACATGCCTGGGCGATCTGCGATTGATGAATTGAGTAAATTACACTGAATGACATGTTGCTACGATGAATACGGATTTAGAGTGACTGCAGAATAGTGATCGCGTGAACAGTCAAGTGAACCAATCTCACAAATCGCAGTGTTACTGAGTTGTCTTGTCATGGAATACATTAAAAGTTGGACGTAAGAGGGTATCTCTCGCTTGGTGAGGTTTATGCATTAGCAAACTAATTAAAAAGCAAGAAATGTCTTTTTAATGTAAAGACGTACAATTAGATGAAGCTAAACATGGGAGATTGAACCAAACATTATTTAATCAAACACCTCGCCTAGTCCTTCCTTCATTAATTTAATTTTCGTCAAGGCTGGCATTACGTGACTTTTGAAGGCCAAATAGTGTTTTCGTGGCCTAGTAAGCCAATTCTCGATCAAAACACTTTCGTGTTCGCAGCCAAC